GTGGCTTTCCCATCCACCCCTGCCCCAGGGCAGCGGGACATCAGGAAAAGCACACTGAAGCTCGTGTGGACCTCTCTGAACTCTTGAGAGCTGGGCCTGTGGCTCAGGTCCAAAAGCTGAGGGCCAAACAGAAGCCCCAGGCCACATGTCAGCTCTTGTCAGTCTCAACCAAGGCGGGAGGCACAATCTACCAGTGACCGCTGTCACCTGGGACTTCTGTTTATAACAATGCACACAGATCTCGAAGTATCTGCAGGTCTTAGTTTGGAAGCTCCTGAGTCCTTTCCTCCTTTCCTTACAATGCAGGCCCCAAAAATCAGAGAAGCAGAGGACCGCAAAGCCTTCATTTAACACGGCAGGGCAACATTCCCGAGCTACGGCCCCTGCTTCTCCCATCGGACTCCACTAGGATGTTGGTCAGCCCTCTCTCTGATCAGTGCTGCGGTGGGCGTGGGGAGGAGGAGGATGTCCGATGAACACTGACGGAAGGAAGAATTCTGGAAGGAGACAACTCCATTTCTCATCTTCTTTGAGCTCTGGAATGCTTGCTGTGCTCTCGGGCTGGGGGAGCCCTGGCTGAGTGAATGATGGGGCAGAAGAGCAGGTGGCAGGGTGGAGGAGCCCTCGTGGGTAGGTGGATCTGGGAGGTCAAAGGAACAGATAGATAACTGAAGCAGAAAATGTGTTTCCTGGATCCTGAGAACCAAACATAAAGAACACGTATTTGGCATGTAACTGTGTATGGCCTACATGTCGGGGAATTGAGCTGAATTCAGAGCCCATCTTTGGATATTGGACATGGTAGTGCACACCCGTAATCCCAGCACACAGGAGGCTGAGGCAGGAGGATCACCATGAGTTCAAGGCCATCCTGGGGTACATAGTGAGTTCAAGGCCAGCCTGAACTACATAGAGAGATCTTGTATAAAAAACAAACAAAAGACCAAACCAACCAATCAAACAAACAGACAAAGCCCATCACTGGGAGTTATGAGACCTAGTGGCACAGAGCCCTCCAAGACAGAATAGACGGGGTGGTGTGCGACCTCAGGGGATCAGAGGATACCGGAAGTGGCCATTAGGATTCAGGCAACTTGAATTACTGTGTACCCAACGGAATGTTTGCAGATGCCTTCCCGGGGGTTCCCCATGCACTGTTGCCAAGCAGACGCCTCCATGTTGCTCTCTGGGATTGTTCTGGTCTCGCCCGCCTCCAGGAATGTGCTCACACCGATTTCCCTCTTCTGACAGCTAACGAGTCAGAGTTTACAAGGAAGGACCAGCTTTTGGGTTACCCTGGTTCTTCCATTAAGCTATGAATGGCTGCTCCTTGACCCAGAACCACGGGTTGGAAAGAACGTGAAGATTATCTCCAAGTAGGGCCCTTTTGGACCCAAAACCCAAAGTCCAGGAGAACAGGTGACTTTTCAAGGTCACATGGCAGGTGGGGACCCTGACCCTCTGAATTTCATCCAAAGTTACGAATCTGCAGCTTGGTCTTCCCCACCCACCCAGCGGCCCCTGGGCCCACCATTCCCTTGGGACTGTCTGCCCCTGTGAGGTTTCACATGTCTCTGCCCCTGCGCTCAGTGGAGGCGGGAGGGAGGTCCTGGGGAGTCCCTCTTCCAGCCCCCGCCCTCTGAGCCTGTGCTGCCAGGTCTGGCTCCCCAGTCTCCCTTCTTCTGTGCTCAACCAGGTGAGAGTCCGGGAGGAGCAGGGAGAACCCGGACTGAGACAGGGGAGGGGAAGAGGGGCTGGGAGTGGACAGTGACCTAGCACCCGCGGCATACCAGGTCCTCAGCGATTCTCACAGCCCTGCCACACAGCGCCTGTGAGCCCCACGCTACAGATGAAAACCCTGAGCCCTGAGGAAGTGTCTCAGGCAGCTGGGCAGGATTAGAACCCAAAGCCCTCACTGGGTCATGAGGTACTAAAAACTGTGCTGCGTTGCAATGCTGCCAGGTATCCTCAAGAGCCACCCAGGAGGAGCCGGAACTCTTCTCCCAAAGGCCCAAATCAGCAAGGCCAAGAGTGACAAAGACAAATGCAAAGTCCTGCGCTGCATTTCCAAAAGTCACTTGTGCATGTGCAGAGTGGGATCCTGGGCAGTGGATTCAACAGAATGAATACTGTCGCCAGTCCTTATCCTGCTGCAGCCCTGCCCCATTTTCTTTTTCTTTTTTTATTTTTGGTTTGTCTTTTTGAAACAGGGTCTCACTATGCAGTTCAGGCTCATCTTGAGGTCACTTTGTAATCCAGGCTGGTCTCGAACTTGCAATGATCCTCCTGCCTCAGCCTCCCAAGTGGCCTCATTTTCCACAGCACTTGCAGTTCGTGGTGCTCCTTCGCTGCCCCGTGTTAGGTTCTGAGTGACCATAAACAAGCACCGTCTTAGAAAGGGTGGGGGTCAACGCTGTGGCTGTGAGCAGGGCTGTAGCTGCTCACAAGCTGATTCTTTCAGTGGCCTTGTGTAATATGAACAGATTTTGAGTGCAGCCACTACACCAAGTATAGGACATGCTGCTTCACATTTAATGCCCCAACAACCCTATAGGGCTGTGACTTACTCTATTTTACAGCTCAGAGAGCCAAGAAATAAAAAAAAAAAAGTTGGCCCAGGTCGCACAGCAAATAAGTAGCAGAATTCAGGCTAAGGACTGAGAAATAGCAAGACAAATGTCATTCTGAGCATTTCAGCCCCCTTCAGAGGCCCATGCCTGCTGCTGTAGACCATAGTTAAGGCAGACGTTGAAACACAGAGGAAGCGTCGGGGGTATAGGATGGCGGCACAAGCGCCTGCCTCACAAGCTGAAGGTCCTGAGTTCGATTCCTGTACTAGACAAACACACAAAACAAAAAAAGAAACACAGAGGAATGAGGGATTCCATCACCGTATGGGCTGTCTGGAGGACCTGAAAATATTTATTCCTGAAAAGAAAGCTGTCCAAGGACATACAATTGCTCTTTTCAAAGGCAGAAAGTTTCTCTCCTTAGAATTTGAGTTCAACGTTCGCCAACCTGCCACCAACTGCTGTCGCCACCTACTGGTGGGAGGTAGCATTGTCGCGCTGAGATGGGCCACTTAACTGAGAGCCAAGTTTGAATTCAATCTGCATACACACAAGCGCTCTGAAACCCGCCAGGGGGGAATCAGCCCTCTGTCAGGTGACTGGCGGAACCCAAGCCCCACGTCTTAGTACATCAAGGGCTTTCCTTTTCATGGTAATACAGAAAGATATTTCATTATCAAGCTTTTTGAGAATATTT